TGTCCGTTCGCTAAGCTAATCAGAAGGTGCTTCTGTTGTAGTTGGTAAAAACCGTCGTATCCTGGGAAGTAAACGTCGGCGTACCTCCAGCACCCAACGGTGAGGCGGCGAATCTATTTTAAGGAGACTGTGGTATCACACAGGTTTCGGTTTGCTTCCTTTAACCATTTTATATTTTATCTGTATTTTATTCAGTATGTTATTTTTCTTGGGATTGAAAGTTTGTTTTGTTCATCTCATAATTTTGCGATATGCAATGTGAAATTATGTAATGTGAGTAGTTTTCCCAACAAGTTTTTGGTTAGTTGATCATCATCTGCAACAACACACACAGAACACACTCACAAAGATACACAGAGAGGGTCAGCCCCCTTGGTTGACCTCTCTCTCTCTCTCTCTCTCTCTCTCTCTCTCTCGCATGGGCTCTTGGCTCTCTCTCTGAGGGGCTACACATCTCTCTCTTCATGCATGACCAACCTCTCTCTCCCTCTCTGCCACGAGCGTGAGAAGAAGAACTAAGAACCATCACCGTTGCGGCTGCACAGCCATGCCACCGCAACCCATAGCTCTGACCACAACGATTGCCCACCAGAACACCTGCAACCTTGAGCCTCCTTGGCTGAGCTCTCTCTCTCTCTCTCTTCAGTTTGGTTTTGAAAATGTAAAGAAAACACACACATGCACAGCTGCTCTCTCTCGGCTCTCTCCATGGACACACATGCACTGCTCTTTTTCTCTCTGATTCTTTGGGGACAAATGCAAATGGATGATAGAGAGAGATGGAGGTTGTGATGTTCGTGTATTTCATCGGCTGAATCTGTATATCTTGACGTGATAAGGTAAATGGTTGTCACGGAGTTCTAGTTGTTGTTGCCGCTTTGATGTCGTTGTAAGTTGGGTGTGTTTATTTGATGGACTTTGTGTGCTGGGTTGGTGTTCCGGGAGCAAGTTGCATCATTTCTGGTGCTGGTCTATTTAGGCAAGGCTCTTGTTGGCCTTTTGGGTTCAACCTGGTTTGGTTTCTAATTTAGTGGTTTTGCGGTGCATAATTGATCTCCGCCGATCTACTTCAACGTGGTGTTGTTGCCGGAGTCACGGTGTTCTGGTTCTGTATGCTATCGTCGGTGCTACACCAGCGATAGTCATGCTAAAGAGTAGCGCGTAGTTCATGTGGTTCACATCCCATGCACTTGTTCTTGATGTTGCGTGGACTCACGTTTCTTCGCATGGGCTGTTGGTGATATTGATGGCTGGATATGCTCCTATAGCAACAGTGCCGTTAGTGTTGCTTACATTGTGTTTTCTTTGGTCATCAAGTGGAGAATTGGAGGGATTTTAAAATTGGTAATGGAGAAGTGGGTTTGACCCACGGCTTTGGTTGATAAGTGTAAGATAATGATGCTGTCCATACATTGGATAAGAGGATTACGTGGGTATTCTTCTCCCACGTTAGCGCAAAAGCTTTGCTATGGTGTTGCTATTGTAATTACGTATTTTATTGTTTACTTGTGTTGGGGGATCATGGTTTGGGTGGGCCCTAGCATATGGAACTGGTTGAGAGTTTTGGTTTGAAGTGGGGCCCGACAATATTTTACCTCGCTTTATGTGATTCCATCGAATGAATAGTGATCGGCGGTGAATAGTGGACCTCCGACTATGAACAGTGTTTCGGGATGACTAGTGCTCCGCAAAATAAGTTTTCCTAGACAGAACAAAGCAGTCTTCCTGCGTCAAGGAGAATATTTTCCGATGATCCCCAAAATACATGAAGTTCTTTATTTTATTTTTATTTTGAGTGTTTTTGAGGATTTTATTTTGTTCATCTCCCTCGGATCTGTAATATTTAAAGTGTTATAATAATCCCCCATCCCCGCTTCTTTCTATCCCATTCTTTAATCGCTTTCCCTAACTGTATATATGTATATACCTGCATGTCATGCATATCCAAGCTTTACATCCATATTTCATGCATTAAGATTCGGCTAAATTTGCATTTGTGGATTCAATCAATTCTTATGTAATTCTATGTGCTACCTCATGTTCTTGAGATGATTCACATGTCATATTTTAGAAACCAAATCTTTAGTTGCATCTCATGAGTGAATTGCATTAGGATTCTATATATAGGATCATGCATATTTTACTAATTTTGTTTTGTAACTGTTTGCGAAACGTCGGTAAATATGTGAGTTTTTATACTTTAGCATCCCGCTTGTACATAATTTTCTTATTATGTTTAGTATCCTACTATGAGGCTAATTGATAAACTGTTTGAATGCCTATAGATGAAGGCTTGTTGCTTGAATTAGAATGATTTGATGAATGTACGTTTAAGCCCACTTTGTAGTGGCAAATTCACAATCTTTAAGCCCACTTGAGGTGGCAAATTCAAACCCTTTAAAAAACAAACATGAAATTGAATTGTTCCAATTTGAGCAAATTAGTCTATACCTTGTGTGCTTCACATAGCAAATTTTAAGATTTATTAAATAATCAGAACATGAACATATAAAGAAAATAAAAGTCATATCATGGTTTAGTAGAGGTCGATCTCTTGATCGGGTGAGCAAGGGTGCTCAATTAATGACCTTCTCCCTTCATACCTAAGGTTCCGAGCCAAGCATCCCTGGTTACGACGAACAGTGGTCTTGGCACGAGTCATAGGTTTCCTAATTTCCCAAAAACATTAGGTGGCGACTCTGAGATCTGATGACACAGCCCATTTCTAGCAAAAGGTTTTACAATAAAATGGATTTTCTAAAAGTTGCCAAATCTGGACTCTCATCTATGTTTCACATTGCACTAGTGAGACTAAATCAAAGAAATCTCGAGAGTCCGAACTGTTTAACGCGCACGAGTACGTCCCGAGCATGTTACAGTTTCATCATTTGCATTCTTCTTCTTCTTCTTCTTACTTTTGTCTTTCTTGAAAATATTTTTGGTTATACCCAAGGTGGTAAGGTGAGCCATATTAGGCTTTTCAGCTTTAAGCCTCTCTTCTTCTTGAACACACATGGCAATTAGCTCGCTCATTTTTCACTTATCTTTCTGCGTATTATAATTGATCTTGAAAGGACCAAATTGCACAGGAAGAGAAGTCATAATGAAATGAACAAGAAAACCTTCAAAAATTTCTATGTCCATTCCCTTTAATTGAGAGGTCATGTCATTCATCTTTAAGATATGTTCATGAACACCACTCAAACCATCATATTTCATTATCATCATTTTAATCATGAGAGTACTAGCAAGAGATTTGAAAGTTCTAATAAATTGTTCTTCAATAGATTTCATATAGTCCACTGCTCCTTGAATTGCAGGCGTAATTGAACCTTTCATAATTATTAGACTTAAGTGATTAGAGCGTTCCCATTTTTTATATAAAACTATGTGTTCCTTAGAGCTTGTATCATTACGCTTTGTAGGATACATAGTCTAAATCCATAATTTTCAAAACAATTCCAATTTGTTCTTTCCATTTCTTAATATGTCACTGAAATATTTCTTGATTCAATAAAGTTTACGTACAATCTAAAAAAATAAGATCAAGGTGACAATTTAATTATCAACAATGATATATAATTCTAATTTAAGAGTTTTAAATAGAACTCTAATAAATTAATAGGTCAAAAAAAGATTAAAAACACCAATAGAAAGCGACAATGCCTTTGTTTAGGATGTAGGTTGGTTTTTTGACTTTTTGGCTATTTAGTTTGGGATTAAAAAGTCTTATTTTGGATAAGCTTTTTGGCTTTTTTTTTTATATATATTTTTGTTAGAGAAAGAATAAAATGATTATAGGTTATATGTGATATTTTGTCCATTTGACTAAAATAGCCTATTTTGTCTTATATAACTATTTCAGCCCTAATCAAATACGCCAAGCGGAGCCTTAAAACGTTAAAAAAGTAAGGCCTTGTTTGTCATAACCTAAAAAAGTCAAAAAGTTAAAAAGTCCCTATTCTATTTAAGTCACATCATCTTATTTCACATCATCTCTCTATTACATCACTTCAAACTCAATCCATACTTTATAAAAAGTCAAAAAGTACACTTATGTAGATCATCCCAAACCACTCCTAAAAGAGTACAAATGAAGCAATTTTATAATTAATAAATCTAAATATATAATTTTAAACTTGAAGATAATATGATACTCAGGCCAAATTTGGCATGTCTAAAAAAAGACAAAAAGGCGAAAAGCTACTCAAAAAGTTAAAAAATTATCACTATTTACCAAAAAAATATTAAAAAATTAATTTTACACACAAAATTACAGCTCATCAATCTGACCGGTTTAGATCTGTGCTGCGTTTTTTAAGAAAAATTGCACAGTTGGAGTCTAATTTTAACACACTGATGTTCGGCCCGTGGGGCCCCATCACAGGTCCCATTTTGATAATCTGAACAGTTCAATGTGTAGAACTCGTCGAGTACTATATAATTGTAAAAAATCACATTGATCGGATATCGATAAGTACATGATCAAATCAGTTTTGTATAAAAAAATGAATGGTGTTATAGTTAACGGTTGAAAAAAAACAAATCTGATAATATAACTATCGATATCCAATCAATATGATTTTTTACAAACATATAGTACTTGACGAGTTCTACACAATGAACGGTACAGATTATCAAAAAGGAACTTGTGATGGCCCCCACAAGCCAAAAAGCACCGTCCAATGCAATGCCCGAAAAGTGAACAATTACTTCTTAGCATCTAGCAGATAGGACAGCTGTACAACTCACACTCCTAATCTTCTCATGCACACTAATTTATACAATTTTTTAATACATATTTTTTCATAAAAAGTCAAAAAATTAACCCAAATAACTATATTTATTTCCTTAACGTACACTTATTTAGGACACCCCAAACAAATTATAATTGAAAAATAAAATATAATTAACCCAATTAAATACATTTTATTTTAATCTTTTAATGTACCGGTTATAAAATTTCAGCGGCCGGTATAAACGCAGCCACAAACCGCCATTTACAAAGAGAAACCCTACAAAAACCCTTTCTCCCTCTCTCTCTCTCTCTGTATGGACTCACCCAGGCTACCTACGACACGACCCTTTCTTCTGCTTCAAGACATACCATACCATAACAAACCTTTCTGTATTTTATACCATCAATCTCAATATTGCATTTAGTCGGTGAAATTCTTACAGTTGGTACAGTCGAGATCCATAATCCCATTCATTCATTGTTGTTCTCTAGAGCTAGAACTGAGCTCCTCTGTTAGGGTTTTAGACAGAAAATGGCAAGACTTTGTGGCGCTGGGCTTATCTCAGCCCTAGCCTCTGCAGCATTAGGTTCTGACCATGCTTATGCCGAAGGACCTTTCAGCTTCTCTCCCTTCTCTTCTCCTTCTTCTTCTTCTTCTTCACCTCCTCAGTCTCAAGCAGCAGCAGCAGCAGCAGCTTCGGAATCTCCTTGCCAAGTTATCTTTTAAAGAGATGTGTATTGTGTTGAAGGAGCAAAAGGGTTGGAGGCAAGCTAGGGACTTCTTTCTTTGGATGAAATTGCAGGTGCCGAACCTCCACGGGTTCGCAACGATAACCCACGAACTACGTCTGCTGGCTTTGATCCTGAGGCGCTAGAAAGGGGTGCAAAAGCGCTGCGTCAGATTACCAGCTCTACCCATGCCAAAAAGGTTTGCAATTTTCGGTTATTCCTCTTGTTTTTCGTTATTAGTGTGTTTTGTGAAGAAAATCCATGGTGGGTTTTGGAAGTTCAGCTTCTGTTTTGTTAATGGTCTTTTTTTTTCCCCTTCTCTTCTCCTAGTGTCAATGTAGAACGAATTGATTGAGGTTGGATTGGATGAATGATTTTCATTACATTGTTGTGTTGATGCTGGTTTAGGTGTTCGAGGTAATGAAAAAGCAAGAGGAGACGAGGCTGACAGAATTGACCACAAAAGGCGCAGAATTTAAAGCTATGCAAGCCGAAGCTGAAACTGTATGATTGCCATTTCTCTATCAATTTTTTATTGAATTCTCTGCAGTTCGCTAATGCATAGTACCCGGTGAGAAATAAAATGAAAAGGGATGTAACTTGATCCACCTTACTTTCATGTAATTGTGAAACTGATAAGCTGACTCCTTTACATTAGTTCTATTGGTTCTAAATTATCCACTCACCATACCAGCTTGGGTTACTAAGGGATATTCAAAGGAGAGGAGATTGATGAATCAATCCCATTTGGCAATCCTCAAAAGCATAGACATTACACAGAGAGTGGTGGCAAGAATGGTTGGTTGGACCTCTGTAGCTCATCAAATTAGGCTTTCCAACAGCCCAAACATTACCCAATTGACTAAAAACTGGCTCAGAGGAAGCAAACTTAGCTATCACTCTCAGGAGCTCCAGTGTCCACAAGGCAAAGACTGACATTATTGTTCTCAATTTGATCCCTTACTAGGTTTGAGAAAATATTCTTTGTTTTTTATTCAGGAAGGAAGAATTTTTTTTCAAAATGTTTAATAGATGATTGCTAGTTTAGTGCCTTTCTTTAATGGACTAAATGCATGCACAATAATGAGGTCTTAGCAAGTGATTGTATCTTGTACTATTAGTTGGCCATAGGGACAATGAGATTTAAGCCTGGTCCTATACCTTGTTGAATTCTTCTCTTGTAGTCAAAGCTTCATTAACTTTTGCACTCAATGGCCTGTTTCCTTATTGGCCTCTCTAGGACGCACTTGGACTTGCCCTGGTAAACTAGGACCTACAACCATGGTAGATTCAATAGCATTACTTAGAGATACATCTTGGTAGTTCTAACAGACAAAAAGCAAATCTCTATTGCAAGTGTTTACTTTACCTACTATTTGTGCAGCAGATGCCTCTTGTGTACACATGCATATGAATGTTTACTGTTTCATTGTGAACTGTCTGTTTGACAGGAGAGACAAAAGGTAATTTATGAAGAACAGAAAAAGTTGGTTCAGCAACAGGCACAAATAAAATCCCAAATGGCTCGCTATGAGGATGAATTGGCAAGGAAGAGAATGCAGGTTTGTATACTTACATTTGATTCAGTTTATGCCAGAGGTTATTACAATGAAGGATGTAACTGTTCCTTGTATTTATCAGGCAGAAAATGAGCATCACAGAGCAAGAAATCAAGAGCTTGTAAAAATGCAAGAAGAATCAGCCATTAGGCAAGAGCAGGCCAGACGAGCAACTGAAGAACAGATTCAGGCGCAGCGTCGGCAAACAGAGAGGGAGAAAGCTGAGATTGAACGTGAAACAATAAGGGTAAAGGCTATGGCAGAAGCAGAAGGAAGAGCCCACGAAGCAAAGCTTGGTGAAGAGGTCAACAGACGCATGCTAGTGGAGCGCGCAAATGCAGAGAGGGAGAAATGGGTTGCTGCCATAAATACAGCTTTTGATCATATTGGAGGTATTTCATTTTAACATACATGGCTGCCTACTGCCTAGAACCAACATGATATGCATCTCCGGGGTCATCAACACAAACAAAACTCTAATGCCTGTTTTGGATATTAACCTGTGCATGCTCCTAGGTAATCTTCTTGATTTATGAGCTAAGCACATTTAAGATTGCTGAGTCATGATCAAACTGTGAAACTTGTGCCATAGCATATATCAGTTGGTTGTGGATTGGGGTCACTAAACAAAGGCTTGTGTACCATTTTAATTGGCATAGGCATTCCACTCTGTCAAGGGTTATATGTGCAGTTAAATTAAATAAATTTATTTATTGTTCTAGAACACCCCTTGTCAATGTAGGTATTCTCCTCCCCCAAGCATTTCCATTAATAGTGATCATACTTCTCTTCTGTACGATTGCATCTACTGATTTTCTTACCAAATCTTAGTTTGTGTTCAATCGGTGCTACTCCTAACATTTCACAAATGTATTCATTTCTAATTTTATTTTTCTACTCTTGCCACACATTCATTTTAGCATTTATTTTATTTTGTTTCTTAGTTGTGTAATATTTTGTCTCATAAAGCATTTTTTCTTACAACGGTTCTATCAAATCATCCTATTATTTTTGTTGTTATCCAACAATCGCATAATATGCTTGAAGCACCCCTCCACATGAGCTAACCTAATATAATTTTATGGGTAATAAAACCACATTCTCCAACCTCTCCATACTAATCAAACCTAGATAATGAAATTGTTCACTCTTTGATATCTCTTGGTTTTCAATCTTTACATTGCCACTATAACAACATTGCTTGTAGAGTTGTGGAAGCTTGATGTAGCTAAACCTTTTGGCATGAGAATTGTTTCAGTTTTGATTAAATGAGAAATATATCAAATATTGGTATCTTTTTTCTTCTTCTTTTTCCCCCTTTTCTTTTGTTCCCTTTTTTCAGTCCATTGTTGATGACCCGCAACAGGGGGATGGCCCTCTCCCTGCCTATAGGTGGTCCTTGTCAGCTTCAATTTTCAGCGCTCACATTTTCTTTTCTTGTTGTGGTTATACTTTAGCATATCTAATCTTAGTGACTTCCCTGAGGTTCATATCCTCTTGCTTTGTTTCCTTTTGTGTGTTTGCATGTGCATATTTGTATAAATAAATGCATAAGTTTATTGGACACTGTTATGTTCTACAATTGATTCTTCAAATACATGAGAATATCAACCGATGACAAGAAACTTGACATTATACGGTGATTTAAATGATACTTTTGCCTTTCTTCTTCCTTGAATAACTTTTTACATACAGATGGGAAATAAATTAAAGCCGTTTTTAAAATTAATTTTCATCATAATTATGAATGGGATGTAAATTATGATTTTTACTTCTTTAGTAGTATGTTTGCATTCTGTGCTTGGATATCTATTATTTTATTTTTTATCACGTTGTTACCATGCCAACTGTTGTTGTTCTTAGTAAAGCCAAGATGTCCAGATTCAAGCAAATCTAGGGTGTGAAACTGATGTAGTTGTTGACATATTCGGTTTAGTTACATGAAGCAGACTTGGGAAGATTCTTTTGGTTGATAATTTGATCAAAAGAAATAAATTCTCTATTGAAATGCCCAAAAATTCTGCTCTGTTGTGACTGCTTCATTTGGTTATTGCTGTAAATTTGTGTTTAAAAGAGCTTTGCTTGATGGGGATTTATTTGTGTTTTGCAGGTGGTTTGCATGCCATATTAACTGATCAAAATAAGCTGGTTGTGGCTGTCGGTGGAGTGACAGCTCTTGCAGCAGGGATCTACACAACAAGGTATTGGAGTCTATAAGCAAAAAGAATGTTTTACATTTTTTTTTCCTGGCTGAATCCACTTGAGGAAGTGAAGTATCTCATGTACATTCGATATTAATTCCAGTTAATATTATTTAAATGTATTATTTTTCATGAACTCAAATGCAATGTCCTGCTACTAGAAGTATACTTGTCTTTGTCCTGAACGTAACAATCTTTGTGTTATTATTAAAATGATATCAATGATAATGATGGTGGTGGTGCTCAGATGATTTTTATTTCCCCGTGTCCATACTCAATGATATACTCATTCAAATTTGTCCTTTACAATGCAGAGAAGGTGCAAGAGTGCTTTGGAGCTACGTGGACAGAATATTAGGACAACCGTCATTGATCAGAGAGTCCTCCAGAGGGAAATACCCTTGGTCAGGATTGTTTTCTCGTGGTATGAGCACTCTATCACATAAAACTGATAAAGTCTCTTCCCTCAAAAATGGGAATGGCTTTGGTGATGTTATCTTAAACCCTTCTCTTCAAAAACGAATTCAGCAGCTAGCTCGTGCAACTGCAAATACAAAATCGCATCAAGCACCATTTCGGAACATGCTCTTCCATGGTCCTCCTGGAACAGGGAAAACAATGGCTGCTAGAGAGATGGCACGCAAATCTGTATGTGCTCTCTCTCTCTCTCTCTCTGTCTCTTGCAAACTTTAATTGGTGTAAATGTTCTCTGTTAATTGCATGATATATGCTTTCAGGGGCTAGATTATGCATTAATGACTGGTGGAGACGTTGCGCCACTGGGTCCACAGGCTGTTACCAAGATACACCAATTGTTTGATTGGGCCAAGAAGTCAAATAAAGGTTTATTGCTTTTCATTGATGAAGCGGATGCATTTTTGTGCGAGTAAGTGATGTTTGCATTTCGAATAATGTTCCATGTAGAGGTGTGATAGAAATATAGGCCTTGTTTGGTTTGTGTTTTGAGATATTATTTCAAAAATAATTTTCTTGAGTGTTTAGAAAATTTAAAAATTTGTTGGCTGTAGATTTTGAAAACAGTTTTTGAGTTTTGGAGTTTGGGATTATTTGATATTTTTTTGTAGTTGAATAGATGGGTGAGAGAAAAAGTGATTGAGAATGAGAGAGAAGAGAGAAAAAGTGATTGATTGATGTATAGTAGAGAGAAAAGTGATTTTGGATTTTTTTTTTCTAAAAATTTTCAACCTAACGGAGTTTTACTGGGCATAATACGCTCAAAAGCAAAAGCTGTTTGATTATCCTTGGCATAATATAGTTTTCCTTGGAAATTTATTTGTTGTCTATCCACTTTGTAAAATGATGCCTAATTTGGTTTTGGACTTGATCATACTTTTATGTGATATTCTGGACATCAGCATTTTCCAATTTGATTTTTATGACAACCTAACTATGAGCATACGGTTTCTTAACCAAAATTTTCAGGCGAAATAAAACCTACATGAGTGAAGCTCAAAGGAGTGCACTCAATGCCCTCCTTTTCCGTACTGGTGACCAGTCCAAGGATATAGTCCTTGCTCTAGCTACAAACCGCCCTGGCGATCTTGATTCAGCAGTGGCAGATCGTATTGATGAAGTCCTTGAGTTCCCTTTGCCTGGTGAGGGCGAACGATTCAAGCTGCTGAAACTCTATTTGAACAAGTACATAGGTCAGGCGGGGGCAAGAAAACCAGGCTTATTTTCCAATCTGTTCCGGAAACAACAGCAAAAGATAGAGATAAAGGGCTTGACCGATGATACTCTGAAGGAAGCTGCAGCTAAGACTGAAGGATTCTCAGGAAGAGAAATAGCAAAGCTGATGGCAAGTGTTCAAGCTGCTGTTTATGGGAGCGAGAACTGTGTGCTTGATCCAAACTTGTTCCGTGAAGTAGTAGATTACAAAGTTGCAGAGCATCAACAGAGAAAGAATCTGGCTGCTGCTGATGGGAAGTAGTTCCTGATGGGAGTGTTTTTAAACGCTAGCATACAAAATTTTGTCTTTGCTAATTGGGTAAGAATGAGTTGGTATCTGCTTATTTTGTCAGTCTTGGGTCATTTTTATTTTTTGGTTAACTTATTGTCATCATTATTTGCCCCATCTACTGGGGAGTTTTGGTATGTTTACCATAGTTTACATTCAATCTTTCTGTTGACTATTCATAAGTTATATATTATACATTTGCGGTGCCACTTGCCCCTATTGTTCTTCACTCATTGGGGTTCCCCATTGAGCTAACTTTTTTTTATGAATGGAGACTTCACCACACAGAGATTTGGGATTCCCTATTGTTCTTCACTCGTTGGGGTTCTCCCATTGAGCTAACTTTTTTTTATGAATGGAGTTTTCACCACACACAGATTTGGGATTCTATACATGTACGATGAGTGTTTGTGCACACATGTTGGCTTGTCTGGTGTATAATTTATGATAGTTCAAGTTCATTAGAATTTGGAACCTTGTAACCAAAGATGTTGACTGATTTGGCTTTGTAAGGTTTCAGGTTTCTCTATTCCAAAAGTTCATGGTAATTTGACTTCTTTTTTTTTTTCTTTTTTTTGGTGATAATTTTCATGGTAATTTGACTAATGATAAAAGCAGAATCTTGTGTGACAAAATGTGTGTTGATTCAGGTTGTCTTCTGGTAATGTTAATTCCATTCCCATGACACTTGTGTGGGGTCATTAGAAAACAAATTACAATAAATAAATAAACTGTTATGGAAGAATTTCTGACCTCATGACATTGCTCAAAATGCAAACGTGACAGCAAGCAAAGGTAATCAATCACACAATTCCTTGTAGATAAAGCATAAGACCATCTCCAACGGTGAACCAAATCCAGCATCAAATTCAAATTTTGATGAAAAACTTACTTTTTCAAGCTCCAACCGTTGCACCAAAGTCATATCAAAATGAGAATTCAGCAAACAAAATATCAAACTGAGACCAAGACACAGATTTTACCACATCACTGTTACTGACCGTTGAAAGTGGTACACCGGTCAACCAACCGGTTGCCCGGCCGGTTGACCAACCGGTTTCCTTTGAAATAACTGTCGACCGGTTGGTCAACCGGCCGGTCGACCAACCGGTCGACCACTTCCCCAATTCTGCTTTGATGCTCACCGTTGGAGCGCCTCGTATCAAATTGAAAAAATCGTCATTTTTTTCATTAGATTTGATGAAAAAAGAAGTTAAGCGTTAGAGATGTTCTAACAAAGGTAGTTTGATGTAAATTTAGATCCGGAAAACAATAAGAATCACCTTGCTTTGTTTTCAGTTTTTCAAAACACCTTTCAGAAAATTTTACTTTTTTATTTTTCGTGTTTTTTTGTTTTTACTGAATTTTTTTAATATTTTAAGCAATTTTTTTACTTTTTAGACACACCTAACATAAATACATCTAAAAAGTAAAAAAATTATAAAAAAATCTTTTAAAAAATTTACTAAATACCAAAAATACAAAAAAAAAATACAAAAATTCAGTACATTTTTTGTATTTTTATGTATTTATTACTTTTTTAAAATATTTTTTTACAAATTTTTTACTTTTTAGATACATCTAAGTAAGGTGCATCTAAAAAAGTAAAAAAAATATTTAAAATTTAAAAAATATTCACTAAAAACAAAAAAAAAAAACAGAAACAAAAAAAGTCAATTTTCAAAAAATTTAATCCAAAAAACTCAAACCAAACACAGTGAATAGTCCTACCAAATTCTTATTCTGCTGATAACAAAAGCATGCAAGCATTATTGGTACAAAGATTTCTTGAAACTACAGTTTAAAACACAATGTGAAGAAATTTCAACATTATCCTGGTGATTATCCCCCACAAACCCGTCATGGTTGATTATCCTTGCAGAATTTATTTTCAGACTCATTAGTGGTGATGGTGGCCATGGTCTTGAACATAGCGTAAACCACAATACTTGCAGATAGCTAGCTCATCCTTATCAAGGCAAATAAACTCAATTGGATGCCCAAGTGCAGGATTGCTGTCTGCAACCAGAAATTAGCATGAACTGAGGAGACATTTTCATAAATACAAAAATAAAAACCCCAGACAAAAATGACTCGGTTATTCATATAATCCACCCGGTTACTTTTTTACCAGAACTATTACAAAAGAGAGTTCACACTCAGAAAATAAACTTAACCTCCTTCGCAAGCAACAATTCTGGCCTCAACCTTGATGGGTGGAACTTCATTGATCAACTCCATGGGAGATTTCTTGCTTGTATCCTGTCAACAATTATAAAGAAAACATGTATATATTCTGGCAATAACGTATGATTGTCTCAAAAACAAAAATATCGAAAGTGAGAGAAAAAGAAAATAAAAATTAAAGAGAGAGAGAGAGAGAGAGTAGGTATTGATTCTATTGAAATGTATATTGATTCAACTCCATCTAAAGGCAAAGTTAATGGCAGTAATGATCGCTGACCTTCTTCATGGAATCAGAATCAAAGAAACTTCAATAGAAGATTCACAAACTCAAGCTTTCTATGGAGAACCAAAATTTTTGATTGTTGTTGTTAGCCTTGTTTTGGGTTGTTTCCCCTTGGCTTTGTATTTGGCTGTGCTTTTTTGTCCCCGTGGGGTTTGTTTTGAGCATCATTGTATATCCTTTTTCTTTTTGGCAATAAAATTTGCTTGCTTAGAGAGAGAGAGAGAAGGAAAGACAAGAAATTAACGTTCAAAATCATATGCAATGCACATCCGACAAGAAGAATTTCATCTATGGGTAGAACACAATGTTAAACATGTGGGATACAAAATGGTTAAGATTACAATTTCCAGCATGCCAAGAAGCTCTGGTTAGAAAGAGAGAAAAGAGAATCCATTAGAACATTATTTAAGCTCTAATTTGGTTTGGATGATAGAAGATGACTCAAAAGTTTAAAACAAAAATGGCTTAGGTCATACAAGCCTATGTAATGACCATCGGGGATGCTGGTAACTTGGATAATGTACCTGATTTCCACACGGAAGAGCAGGATTCACCACTTGGGGGTGTGCTCCTCAGAGCTGCACTGTACTCCTGTCGCTAGACTCTGCCTCCTGCTATGAGGGTGTGGGTGAGGTTCATTGTTAGCTGGTGGTGGGTCCCTTCCTTCGGGTTGGGTTAAATTTGGTCGTCAATCGGCTACTCTGGGGTCAGGGCCTACAGATGCTATAATGTCTCCACGGAGCGTCTTTTTTTTCCAATTAAAAAAAAAATACAAGCCTATGTAATTGCCAACTACTTGTTTCCAAAAACAGAAAAATATATGTAGTAAATTTTCATAATAAAAGTAATTGTTACCAAAAAACAAAAGAAAAAAGAAGTAATGAATTCCTCCTAGAAGAGGTTAGTTATGAATATCCACCTTGTGAAATTTGAATTCATTCCATCCGTAAATATCAAATTGTCAAAAACAAAAGTTTTAATCAATGCAAAATAAAACAAAGGGTGTCGACCAGTGCAGGTCTTGTTTCACTGGAATAGACTTGTTAATTCTCTTCCAATTCCTCTTAAATTCTTCAGATGGAATAGTTGTTCTCAATTTATTATTATTATTTTAATTTTTTACCTCTAGTGAATTAGGGATACAAGGAAGAAAAGAGAAGATTAATCAAAACAACGAAAAACGAAAGAGAACAAGGCCACTTTGAATCTAAAACCTAATACCCAGAAATTCCCACAACAGTGAATAGCTAAAAAAGTGAAAATAGATCTGATAATAAAAGATTAGGGATGAAGAAAATCATTGGAGAATGAAATAGGAAGGAATACCTGCATCCATTTGGCAGTGTGGGTGGTGATGACTTCACTGCTAACGAAGCTGCTGGTGGCGGCGGCGGCGGCGGTGGTGGTGAGAGTTCTCGAGTTTGAAGCGAAATTGGATGTTGATGGAGTTAGGAGGGTTCTCATCAGATTCGACGCCATTTTGTACCCCATTTTTCTTCCGTATGTTGCCATATTGCCCTAGGCCCCAAGGGAGAGACACACAAAGAAAGTGATGCGAGATATAAAAAAATGATGGTGGATGATTCGGATTAAAGACTTCAACTTGAAGGAGTCAAGAGCCTCTCCTTGCAAGTTTGTACTTGCGTCTGTCCTTGCAAACTTTCAGGTCTATTTTTAGACCCAATTTTGAAGGGGATGTTATGGGTCGGGTCATATGGATCCAAACCTGTGACCAATCAGACCTTGGTTGCTTCCCAAATCTTTAGACCAGAATTGATACACATCTAATGTTCTTTTGGTTGGACGGTAATGGGTGATCAGAATAATTTATCTCACCTTAATTAATTTTTTTTATTAATTAAAATAAATTTTGAACGTAATTAAAATTTATTAATTAATTTAATAATTTATTAATAAAAAGAATCATTTATTATAAAATTAAAAATTTCATAAAATGAGATGTAATTTTCATAATTATATATGAGATAAATTATATTTTAAGTAAATTTTAATAATTATATTTATAATTTATCTTAAAAAATTATTGTCTTTCTTTCTTTCTTTCCATACGTTAAATACGTATCTATTTATTAATTTATCATGAAATGAACTATTTTAGTAGTCTACTAAACAAACAAATTTAAATATATATTTTTTAACCTATTTAAACTCAGATGACTAACTCAATTCGATCGGCGAACATCCCTAATTACATGCAAATATTAGAAATAAATTAAACCCGATTAACATTTTTATGCAAAGGTTGGGTCGGGTGTGGTTTAGAATCTGGGTAAATCAGAGAGACCCGCACTTTTACGAGTGACCCAAAAAAAAGATCTTAAATTATTATTTCTCAACAGTTGTCTTCGTCCCTCCCTCTCTAATCCAATCGAATGGCTGCTTACTGATAAGTCTGAGCAGGGCCGGCCCTGGCCTAAGGCCAATAAGGCTTGTGCCTTAGCCCCACAATTTTGGCTCAAAAAAAAGGTCTCCAAATTTAATAAATTATTATAGGCTTAACTTTTTTTTTTTTTTGGACCAATTTAAAGGATCCCAAAATGTTTTATTGAGCCATGTTTGATTTAATCCATATTTATGTGGTTTAGCCCATATTTATTAAAATAAAAATATATAAAATAAATAAATAAAGTGTTTGGGCCTAACCCAAATCATACATATAATATATAACATTGTTCACTTAATATATAAAAGTAAATTTTAATCTATAATTTTAATGATTAGATATACAAATATACTTAAATAAAAAATTTATAAATACTTATCATTTTAATCATAAATTTTTTATTAAAAAAAAATATGTTAGAGAGTCCCATTTTCATAGTTGTCCCCACAAATATCAAGCGCGGCTGAGACTCCTCCATTGCCATTAAACCCTTTCTTTCTTTCTTTCTTTCTTTCAGAGAGTCCCATTTTCATAGTTGCCCCCACAAATATCAAGCGCGGCCCTGAGTCTGAGACTCCTCCATTGCCATTAAACCCTTTCTTTCTTTCTTTCTTTCTTTCGTAACCCAAAAAAATCAACCCAATGGAAGCCCTCAAGTCCTCCTTTGTCTCCACGACAACCCCTTTCCAAACCCCCCCATATTCAAAATCAAAATCCTCCTCAAAAACCAGAACCACCACAATCTTCTTCAGCTCAGTCACACCAGACCCATGGACTCTCAGCGACGGCAACAACAAAAACAAAAACATCATCAAACCAAAACCCAAATCCAAGAACCCCAAAAACCCACTCTCCGACGACAACGCTCGTCGCATAATCAAAGCCAAAGCTCAGTACCTGAGCGCTTTGAGGCGTAACCAAGGCTCGCACGCCCAGACACCCAAATGGATCAAGAGGACTCCTGAGCAGATGGTTCAGTACTTGGAAGACGACAGGAATGGTCACTTGTACGGCAAACATGTCGTCGCTGCGATTCAGCAGGTTCGTAGTCTCTCCGGGAGGCCCGAAGGCTCCTACAATATGAGGGTAGTGATGGGGTCTTTTGTTGCCAAGTTATCTTTTAAAGAGATGTGTATTGTGTTGAAGGAGCAAAAGGGTTGGAGGCAAGCTAGGGACTTCTTTCTTTGGATGAAATTGCAGGTGGGTGGGTTTTCCCAAAAAATTCTTTATTTTTTTGCGTTTCAAAAACAACCCATAATTGTGGTAGTGATTTTGATAAATCTTACTTAACTGTCACTTTGATGGACAATGAAGGTGGTTGATTTTGATAAATTTCATCTGGGTTTGCGAGAATTTCGTCTTCCTCTTGTTTGGTTAAGCGTAAAGCTTGAGGCAAAATATAGTGATTTCTTTCATATCTTGTTCGGATAGAGACTACCCAAAATGTTAGTTATCACCCATTTTTTCCTCTCCCAATCTCTTCGTTAAAATGGATTTTAAGAGAAACCAGTTTCTCTCCAAAAAAAAAAATTTCATTTCCCCCATTCCAAACAAGTGATTAGAACCAAGAAAATTGATTTTTTTTTTTTTTCTTTCTTTCAAATCACTCAATCCAAATGGTCTGTTAGAACAAAGTTGATATTTATAATGGTTTAATTTAGCTTTGTGGAGTAGCTTGTTTGTGCCTTTATATATGAGTTTTTCAGGAAATCATTGGTCTGCTAAATTTATATTGTTATTCTGGTATTCTTTGTTATTCTTTGGTATCAATGCTGTGCTGCTGAAAATTTGAGTGAAATTAGATTAGGGAAGTAATCTCCTCTCTGCATACCAAAGGAGGAACAGTACTTTGGGCCCTTTCCAACGCATGTTTGCTCCAAGAAGGACGTAGAAGTTGTTGAATTTCTACCACATATCTATTTATATAGTTAAGTGTTGAAAGCTCGACCTAGATTCCACCATAGTTCTTTCTAGTCACAGCCACCCTTTATGTGCTGTATGTAAACTGCTCTCAAAGTAGATGGGATTAGCGGGAAAAGAGGCCAAATCTTTCTTAATTTCCTCGATTTTGATTGGGTGCTATGATTTTGAAGAGATTTAATGACGACTGTAATAATGGCATTTGGTTTTTCACTTCCTTGAAACAAAATCTTATACGTTCCACTTTGTAATGTAGTTTATGGAAAAGAACCTGCACATATTAATTTGGTGTAATTTTAGTTTTATGCTTGAACAGTTAAGCTACCGGCCCAGTGTTATTGTGTATACAATTCTTCTGCGTATATACGGCCAAGTTGGCAAAATCAAGCTTGCTGAACAGACCTTCTTGGAGATGCTTGAAGCTGGGTGTGAACCAGACGAGGTTGCTTGTGGTACCATGCTGTGTGCATATGCCCGATGGGGACGCCACAAGGCTATGTTATCATTTTATTCTGCTGTAAAAGAGAGGGGGGTCATGCTATCTATTGCAGTTTTCAATTTTATGCTCTCATCTTTACAAAAGAAATCACTCCATCGAAATGTTACAGAGTTGTGGAAGCAAATGGTTGATAAAGGGGTTGTTCCTAACCATTTTACTTATACTGTTGTCATCAGCTCGTTTGTGAAAGAAGGTCTCGCTGAAGAAGCTTTCAAGACGTTCAATGAGATGAAGAACTTGGGTTTTGTACCTGAGGAGGTAACATATAGCCTGCTTATCAGTTCAAGTTGTAAAAATGGTAACCAGGATGACGCACTCAGACTTTATGAAGACATGAGATCACGAGGAATAGTTGCGAGTAATTATACATGTGCTTCTCTTCTAACCCTACATTACAAAAGTGGGGATTATTCTAAAGCTCTTTCCTTGTTTTCGGAAATGGAAAGAAATAAAATTGCCGCTGATGAAGTCATATATGGCTTACTTATTAGGATATATGGCAAACTTGGTCTTTACGAAGATGCCCAGAGAACTTTTGAAGAGATTGAGAAGTTGGGCCTACTTAGTGATGAGAAAACATATATAACAATGGCTCAAGTACATCTCTACTCGGGGTATCTAGAGAAAGCTTTGAGTACCATGGAACAAATGAGCTCTAGAAACATTTGGTTTTCAAGATTTGGTTTTATTGTCTTGTTGCAATGTTATGTAATGAAGGAAGATTTGGCATCTGCTGAAGTTACATATGAGGCTCTATCAAAGACTGGACTTCCTGACACTGGTTCTTGCAATAACATGCTCAATTTATATTTGAGACTGCGCTTAACTGAAAAGGCCAAGGATTTTGTTATGCAGATGAGGAAAGATAAAGTAGAATTTGATGAGGAGCTTCTCAAGACTGTTTTGAAGGTATATTGCAAGGAAGGGATGGTAGGAGATGCAGAGCAATTGATAGAAGAGATGAGTACAGGTGGACACTTTGAGGACAGTAAGTTCATTCAAACATTTTCTATGCTAATGCATGGACAATCAAGGAGACCGAACAAAGCTGAAGACAGCTTAGAGCGCTTGGACCAACCTGTTGCTATAGCTTTCAAGCTGATTCTTACTCTGTATTCAGCTGCTGGGAATTCCAGTAAGACAGAAGAAATACTTAAATTGCTTATCAAGACTGCTAATGGCTTGTCTATAGCCAGTCAGCTTGTTAATAAATTGATCAAAGAAGGTAAGAATAACTCACATGCTTTGTTTTTTTGGTTGATGATGGCTTAAGTACCCATCTGTGCTCTCAATATTTTGAATTTCTAATTCAACATTAATTTTATTGTAGGCGAAATATCAAAAGCAGAATGTCTTTACAAGCTATTGATTGAGCTAGGCCGCATCCCAGAGCATGTCACAAGTGCTTCTATGATTAGTTTTTATGGAAAACAACAAAAGCTTAAACAAGCCCTAGAAGTTTTTCAAATGGCTGCCGGCTCCCCTACAAATGCAAAACCTTTGTATAATTCAATGATTGATGCATATGCTAAAAGTGGTAAACCAGAAGCTGCATACTTGTTTTACAGGGAGGCATCTGAGGAAGGGCAGGATTTGGGTGCTGTTGCTATCAGCATGCTTGTCAATGCTTTAATCAATGGCGGTAAGAGTGGTGAATTCAAAGAGTATATAATATTGCTCAGTGGATGATACAATTGGGGCTTAGACTATTCAAGATACCATTGCTTGGAAATAATTCTTAGAATTGAATAATAAGCCACTTCGAGTACAGAAGATTTTGTGACGTGATTTATTGGTATAAGAATGTAGATTTTTTATCTTTATCATTCTGAAGATTTTGTGCTATGGTGTATACGTTTTGCAGATGATATCGTGTTAGTAGATGAGACTAGAGAATGAGTTAACACTGAGTTGGAGATTTAGAGAAAAACACTTGAATCTAAAGGATTTAGGATAAATAGAACTAAGACAGAGTATATGGAGTGTAATTTTAGTAAAAGTCACAATGGAAGTAGAGGAGAAGTGAAGATTGAGAACGAATAACTACCTAAGAGTGAACATTTTCGTTATTTATGATCAATTATCACAATGATTGGAGAGATTGGAGCAGATGTGGTCCACAAAATTAAGGTGGGATGGTTTAAGTGGAGGAGTGCATCTAGAGTATTGTGCGATAAACGAATATTCGTTAGACTAAAAGAGAAGTTCTATAAAACGACTATTAGACCAGCGATGTTGTATGGGATGGAATGTTGGGAAACTAAGAAACAACATGTAGAGAAGATAAGTGTTGCTGAGATGAAGATATTAAGATAGATGTGTGGCAAGACTAGAAAAGGCAAAGTTAGGAATGAGTATATTCGAGAATGGGTAGAAATAGTACCGATAGAAGATAAGTTGAGAGAGAATAGATTGAGATGGTTTAGTCGTTTACAGAGGTAGTAGTGAAGAGATGCGATACAGTGACGGTTGATGGTAGTGTTAGGAAAAGGGGTAGATCTAGATTGACGTGAACTAGTGTAGTAAATAGAGAGATGACTCTCTTTAATTTGACTAAAGAAATGGTCTTGAATAGAGTCAAGTGGAAGAGAAAGATTTATGTAGCTGACCTCATTTGATGAGACTTAAGGCTTGGTTTGGTTTGGTTTGGTTTGGTATCATTCTGAAGATCCTCCAGTTATTTCTAATTTATGACCTCCTATATATCTTATTCTGTATACAATTTTAGTACTATCTGCTTTCTAGGTGACTGTTGAGGATACTGTAAAATGTTCCTGTGGATACTAATTAGTTTAAAATAAAGTCTTTAGAGTTGTCCCCGATTAGACACTAAAGGATCACGGTGTTCAAGGTTTCTCTAGTTCACTGATAGTTGACTGACTTTGTGGATATCTTTCACTGCTGAGACAATACAATTACGATCTGAGGCATAGTTCACGTCAAGATGATTCTGAATGTATGTTCTCCAAATGCCTTTATGTTTATATTGTTTCTTTGGAGATACACTGCCATTCTAATACTGCATTCAGTTCTAATCATCATTCCTTTTAGCTTTGCTCACTCACATGTGCACTGGTATCAGAGGCATAGGAAGTCCCTAGCGTAATGGTTCTTAAAATCAGGATCCTACATAGGATCATTGAGAGGTCTCGTGGATCAGATCATAAAATCATATCGAGGATCATAAGATTCTTCTTTTTGTTAAAAATGAGGTAAAAATACAAGGATGATTCATATAAAAATAAAGTGAAATCACAAAAACCCAGTGATCGTAAATACGATCTCATATAATCCTAGAGGATCCTACTTGCAAGCCTGCTATAACACTGATTGTACAGTGATTTGGATCATTCTGACATTTTAGGATGGTAGGATCGTACAATCTTACAATTTGGATCGCGATTTTGATAACCATGCCTATTCGTTTAGTATGTAAATTTTTTTAGCTTCAACATTGATGAGTGATAATCAATTTGCAGGAAAATATCGAGAAGCAGAGAACGTCATTCATGGTAGCTTTCGCGACAACTTGGAGCTTGATACTGTAGCATACAACACCTTTATCAAGGCAATGCTGAAAGCAGGTTAGCATGGTCATTTTTCTCCATTTAGTGCAAAACTTATAGCCAAAAGAAAGATTAGGATGACACACATTAGCATTCACAGGTAAATTGCATTCCGCAGCCAGCTTGTATGAGCACATGCTTTCCTCGGGAGTTGTTCCATCAATTCAGACATATAGCATCATGATCAGGTAACTGCTTGACTCTCTGTCCTTCTAAAAAAATCTTTAAAAAAATAAAAGAAACGATGCACCGCCTGAAAAAAGAAATAATATTAATAATAATAACAATGATGAAATAGAAGAAAAAAGAACTTGTTTATCTATTCATTTTGGTGAAGCAGTTAATAATGGTTGCAGTGTATATGGACGAGGCCGAAATCTGAATAAGGCTGTAGAGATGTTTAACACAGCTCGAAGCATGGGTGTGTCCTTGGATGAGAAGGCATACACCAATTTGATATGCTACTATGGGAAGGCTGGTATTGATTTCTTTCTGCCTTGGTAAAAATAGAAGAATTATTTTTTGCATTAGTCTCATGAAAATATGAGAACTTACTTTTAATTCCTGATTTTGTAAGGGCTTGCAAGAGATTCTGGAGACTTGTGAGATTTTATGTTAGATTGAAACGGGATAGACAGTTTTACTACTTAAAGCATAGTTACTTAAAAAGGACTTGCTGATCTTATAAAATAGTAGATTATTGTTCTCTTCATCTAGCATGCTTGGTTTCTATTGGGCTATGCTATGTTGGATCGTGTAGCTGGTACTATGGTTGTGAAAGCTTCTGGAGTTATCTGACTTGCCGTCATCAAGTTATATGCTAGATCTATAATTATCCAAAAAAATGAAGAAGTTATATGCTAGATCTACTTCATTTAGCCACAGTTGTTGGCTCTTATGATAACCATCATATTTCTTCAGTGCTTGAGATTATTGCTTAATGTCATTATATTTTTTCCGCCGACTTTGTAGGTAAAGTTCATGAAGCATCCTTTCTGTTTGGCAAAATGCAGGAAGAAGGAATAAAACCTGGAAAGGTATGGACATCTATTCTGCAAAATTTGAAATATTTATGATAAAAGAAGATGCAGCCGTGGTGTTGGTAATAATTTTACAGGCTAGGCACTGTGTGAAAATGTTTGATGATAATGCGGACCCATAATTCCCATGAACTCATTGGACCCCTAATTAAGTGTTTAGGAAGCCTTCTAATCAAGTTGAACCTTCTAATTCAATTCATTGTGGATCACCCATTAAGTACTTGAGGAAACATAATGTGGTATTAAACCCCAAGGGGTTGGTCCGATGGCAAGGCCTTGGGTCGTGGGGGTGTGCTCTCTCCAAGGTTTAGGGATCGAAATCTCATGGATGCTAACAGTTCCTTAGGGCCATCAGACTAGGAAAAAAACCCTTAAATTAATCGTGGTGCACTTAGAAAATTCCTTGCCGAGGGCCTACACAATCCCGAGGATTATTTAGGCTTTAATCTGGACACTCTGATGCCAATCAAAAAAACATAATGTGGTATTAAACAATTGGTCGTCACGCCTCATGACCAACAACATTTTTCAATAAAGAAGACCCAATTGCAATGCCCTCCCTCAATGGTGTATTATGTGTAGCAGGAAAGAGTAATCAATGGATCATTTATTTTCGCATTGGCCTTCAGCCTTGTCTTTGTGACATTGGTTATTCCAATTGATGGATGTGTTGGGTGGCTCTAGCTTCTTGCTCCCAATTACTTTGACTCTAGAGCTTTTGGTACCAACAAGAAAGCCAAGTCTTTGTGGAATGCGATCTTTTGTTCAATTCTATGGGTTATGTTAATTGGTTAGGGCGTAATGCTAGGATCTTTGAGGACAAAGTCGAGGACACTAATTCTCTTTGGGATAGAGTGTTTTTAATCCTCTTTTCAGTTTCGGTTTCGGTTTCCTCTCCATTTAAGGGATTTCTTTATTTTTGATTTTTGAGGATAGGAGGGCAGTGCGTGACTTATAGTTTGTTACCTTGATTAGATTTTCCTTTTTGTCTCTTTTGTTTTCTTTGGTGGACTTTTTGTCTCCCACTTTTTTTGTATTTCTTTTTATTTTTGCTTATTAATATAATCACTTCTGTTGCCAATCCCAAAAAAAAAAAAAACATAAACAAACAAGCAAAACAAAAACAATTGGTTGTCACTGTCCAGTACAATTTGTTGACTGTCATACTATCGTTATGATGCTTACATGATTATCTTGGGAAAATGCAGGTCAGCTACAATATTATGATGAATGTGTATGCTACTGCAGGACTTCACTGTGAAACAAAGGAACTTTTCCTAGCCATGCAGAAAGATGGCTGCTTACCTGACTCCTTGACCTACCTAGCCCTTGTTCAAGCGTATACGTTGGGACTGAAATACTCAGAGGCAGAGGATGCCATTATTTCAATGCAGAAAGTAGGATTTCCTGCTTCCTGTGCTCATTTCAACCTCTTACTCTCAGCTTTCGTAAAAGCTGGTTTGATTCAGGAAGCTGAAAGGGTTTATGGTGAGCTCATTAGTACGGCCGGTTTAAGTCCTGACCTGGCGTGTTGTCGGACCATGCTGAGAGGTTACATGGACTATGGACATGTGAAAGAAGGCATTTCCCTATTTGAAAGCATAAGAGAATGTGTGGAACCAGACAGGTTTATTATGAGTGCAGCTGTGCACTTGTACAAGTCGGTTGGCATGGAACTCAGAGCTGATCAAATTTTGAATTCGATGGACAGTTTGGCGATCCCATTCCTGAAAAACCTCAAGATTGGATCAAAGACGAAAGCTCCCCAAGTGTCAGAACTAATTTAGCAATGCTCCATATGGAAAAGTTGTCTAAAGATGAACAAGCACTGTATATGTGTACCAGTGGTGATATGATTGTATTTGAGACCGCTGTGTTGCCAATCATCCCTGACCTGTTGTGAAGACCAACGACTACTGAAATGTTTAGAGATTGGAAATTTATTCATCATAAAGATATTCAAGCTCGATGATCTCAGGACTTCAGAATGAAGCTGAGATAGTGATGGTATGACAACAGGCTCCCACTTTTGCTGTCATGTTAGCCAATGGATTTGGAAGTTTTGCATTCACTCTGATTCCCATTTGTTTTGCTGTCATGTTAGCTAGCTAATGGATTTGGAAGTTTTTGCATTCACTCTGATTCCCATTTGTTTTGAATGTTCACCTTATGTGATGTGGTGATGGGAGGGGGCTTTGACAAAGATGATGTCATTGTCGATACTTCCTGCATAGTGTGCTGCGCATGCATTTACAAGCATGAGCAGCCAGCTTAATTGGTGGTTGATTTATGTGTTCGACCTGGCAGTTGTCATGGTGATTTTTGAGGTATACATCTAATTTTTTTCTGAGACATTTTTGTATCAGATGGACATGTACAGTTAACAATTATTCTTCTTTAATTACATCTGCATGTGATTAGCCACATCTAAAATTAGAAATTACTTTTCTATTAACGTATTTGTGCGCGCCATTGGTTTGCCTTTTGTTATTTGTTACTTGCTACCTTGGGCCATCCAAGATGTGTTTATGTGCTAATTTCCACAATGTGTTAACATAACAAATGATCATGAGGTAGTTGAAAAGCCTCTCCTCTTGTTCCATGAGTTCGGACTTCATTATTCCCGCTGTAAAAGTCGTGTTCGTTGTTCTCTCTGGAAAAGTTGGGTCTGGTGTTGTTTTCATATGCACGTCTCTTTCATTTTCTTTTCTTTTTGGTGTTAGGGAATAAGCAACTCATTTAATATGCAAAATGTGGTTTACCATGTCTTTGCAAACATCTTGAATTTGTTCTTCAGCATCAAACCCATATCTCACATAATTTGGTTTGATTTTGAGTCCCAAGAAATAATGGAACCACATTTCTCAAATCCTCATCAATTTTTTTCCTTTGATAAAAGATGGGAAAGTTTATGAATTAGAAATATCCTACCATTTTTATATTTTCTTTTTTGTTTTTTTGACCTTGCAAAAAGATGCTAAGAAACTAAAATTAAAATGATGAAAGCTAAAAATGTTATTTTACCCCTTATTGTTAAATTCTAATATCTCCACGAAGAACACATCGCTGGACAAACTATTCGGCATTTAATAATTGTCAGATAATCCACTTTTAGAGAGAGATGCTCCCAACAATAAAACATATCTCATGTGATTAACAAACATCTAGCACCAAAAAAATTACAACCAATATAGAGTTCTACAATGATTTAGACCAATATGGGTCAGACTACAAGACACCTTTGTCAATCTTAGGTAATCCTTCACAGTTTTGTTGGATGCCTGCAGTTTCCTCACCATTTATTCCATCATGGCATCGGCTGGAGTCTCTGAAGCTGCCTTATTTGATTTTCGTTCGTTCTTACCTGCACGTTAAGATGTATAACCTCAAATTGCAATGTTCCATAATAAAATCAAGACAACAGAAAAAATGTAGTCTACAATGAATAACCTCTTCCTTTTTTCTTTTTTTTTTTCCTTCTTTTTTTGCATAGGGAAGAAGGAAGCAAAACTGTGTACACAAATGAACTTGCCTTTTTTCTTTGATTGTTTGACTTTAAGCTTGAGACTCTTCTTTAAGTGAAATTGGGGGTGATGTTTATCGGAATCCAGGGATGTGCCTAATTCACAGAAGAAAAAAAATTAGCATCACGTAACACATATGGCAGCCACAAGCTCAGTGTGGTTAGAGTTCCTCTCTGATTCAAGAGATTGAACACAAATCATATCATAAGCAGTTTCTTAACATGCGCCTTAAGCATGACACAAAAAACTTATGCTATATCCCTCGCCATTAAACTGAACAAGCATCCAGCCCTGCACCTAAGCAAGTCCCCTCTCCAAGGTGCTCCTCACTGTATCAAGTGGAATACAAAGTGAAGACCATAGCAGGTGAACGAGAATGGTGTGATAGTATTTTCCAGTGCTTAACATCATCAAAAATGGACTTATCAGTACCAAAAATTCAAGGATACTAGAGAATTCAAACTAACAAGCTATACCACATCAAATATGAAAGTGAGCCAGAACTACTCCAAAAATGGCATCCAGTTTACCACAAGTGCATTTATCATGCATTGTTTAATGAATTCAAGGATGACAACTTGTACATTATGCAATCACTCATTTAGTTTAACACAATGTTCGTGTGCAGTTTATTTTCTACAATCACTCGTCCAGTTTACCACTTTTGCAAATATAATATCAGGCATGTAGTCTTCCCTTACCACAAGTGCAGGGTTAATGAATTGGATTATTACAGCTTTTTACATTATTATTACGACAATAACGAGAAGAATATGCCTGGAATTTAGGACAAGTAACCAAAAATAATGAGATGGGTGTGTAGTAGTATTTTCCACTGCTTAACAATAGGTGTAATTATTGCACCTATCCAACCCACATGTGGATGCACCATACCATACATCTTTTCCATTCATCAGTTATTTGCAGCACCCATGTAGAACACCAAAATCCAATCACACAAGTTCATGATAGACACAAACACAGAGAGAGAGAGAGGAGCGGTACCTTCAGCAACAGCCATCTCGACATCTTGCATTGTGACAAGGCCCTTCCCCATAGCATCTTTCTGTTCCTGTTCCACAATCATCATCATCATCCTCATCAATTAAAAATATAATCAAACTCTGCTCTACGAAGAGAGAGAGAGAGAGAGAGAGAACTGACTCTGCGCCATTTCTTGAATAGCTTGCGCTTGCGCTTACCGGAGATGGAGAGAGGTTGGGGCTTACGCTTGAGCTTACCGGTGAAAGGTTCCCCACTTGTCGCTCTTTTCCTCTCTGCTATCGCTGCTCTCCTTCTCTTCTGTACTACGTTGAATTTCGCCATCTCTCTTGCTTTTTCCTCTCCTAAACCCTAATCTCATGGACTTATCTCTCCATATATATGATAGTTTTTTTTTTTATTAGTATTTATTTTTTTGAGGGGTTTAAAAAGTTAGATTTTTGTTTTTTTTTTTTTTTTTAGTTAAAATTTACCCAAAAAATAATAATAATAAAATAAATTAAAATAATTAATCAAATAAAATATCACATGAAATTTATAATTATTTTATTTTTTTCTTATAAATATCACATCTAATTACAAAAAAAAATCAATTATTTTGTCAAATATAAAAATTTTAACCCACTAAAATAATAAAATAACTTTCCAAACATCAAAGTCGGTTGCTATTGGCGAGCAAGGATCCTCTAGAGTTTTTTTTCCTTAAAGTTTTCTAGAGTGGTGGTTGAGATTTAATAATAAATTACATCAATTTTTTAACATTAAATTTCAATCATACAATACACCATAGGAAACTTTAGAAAAAAAAAGCACCCTAAAGAATCCTGGGTGGCTATTGACATGTGTGTTTCTAATTCACCGATTTCTATGTAGGACCAGACGGTTTTTATGGCAATTTTTATCAATTTTCTTTAGAATGGATATTGTTTATTATTGAGATCTGTATTAAAAAAATTCTTTAAAAATGGTGAAAATTTTAAAAATAATAATAAAAAAAAATTAATAAACTAAAATAATTATTTTGGTTTTCATGATCTGAAGTAGTTGATGGGATCACAGTTTATGCCATTTCAGAAATAACAAAAACTATAGATGTGAAGCACATTATATTGGCTTTATAACATTCATTGAGAATCTTTATAATATTTACATAAAAAAAAAAAGTGTGTTAACTACAGCTAGGCATGTAATGAAACCATAATGATACAATACTAGCTATGAGCTAACTTGTGCACTAGTTTATTTGTGTTGAAACAAAATAATTATTTTAGTTTTCATGATCCGAAGTAATTGATGGGATCACAGTTTTCCCATTTCAGAAATAATGAAAACTACAAATGTAAAGCAGATTATCCCTATGATATTTGCTGTGTAACATTCATTGAACATATCTATTATGATATATATGCAACACAACTTACTCTTTTCAGTCCATCAAACATTTTGTATGTAGACATTCAGTTGACCATGGTTTTAACCACCTCATGGCTCTTGGTAATAGTTGACCTGGACCTAATATGGATTATTATTTAATAAAAATGCTTATAATGCTGAAAACAAAAAAGGCACATTGTTGATAATTATTTCACACTCAATGATGCATGCATATACATAATGCTATATCCCAGTTTTATTTTTTTTCTTTTTCCTCTTCGTTTTTTTATGGCATGGCATTGTAATTTGTGCATGGTGCATGTTAAACCCACTAAACCTAACCCACTACTACCTACCACACACACTCACCTCCTCACCTAACCTACCACTACCACCTCCACTTCATCCCCTACCACTTCACCTACTACCTTCTTCTCTTCTATATATTTGATCATTGTAAACACAACAATAACAATCAATATATACATACAATTTATTTTCTCTCTATCAATTTATCTTACATGGTATCAGAGCAAGGTTAACAACTTAGTAATTCCGCTTCACCGTATCATGTATAAGTCGCTCATGGCACACACAACACACACACATGGTTTAGAGAGAGAGAGGACACACACTCCACACACCCAACACAACACACAGCTCTCTCTCACACTTAACACACACATGCATACATATTGATACACATTCACACACCCAAGAGGGACACCCAGCAGATGCATACACGCTGAACACATACACACACAAGCTCCACCTCCCTCCCTCTCGGCATGCACACCACCACCACCACTACCATGCATACACACACACCGAACCCAGCTCTCTTCTCTCTCTAGATTCCTAGGTTTCTCTCTCCCTAAGACACACCCAGCGCAGAACACACACACACAGCACAATCAGAGCTACACACACACTGCCATCTCATTCTCTCTCTCTCGGCAAACCCACAACACACATGCATTAAGACTCACACAAGACCATACACTCATTCATACACAAGAGACCCAGCTCATTCAACTCGGCTGCTTCATGTTCCTTCCACAGTCTTCTCAGGCCGAACCTTAAACCCATCCAACACACCAAACCGTGGTCTCTCTCTCTAGCTGGCTCAAAACCAACCCATCTCCAGCTCTCTCTCTATCTCGTGCATGAACCCCTCTCGTGGTAGTACTCCAGTCCACCACAGTTTTTGTGCAGGAACGGCACGTGCCAATAGAGGTCTCACAGCTCGCAAACGATGCCGTTCCCTCCCCAGCGTCTACATCGCCACCTCCGGCCCCGGCGCCACCCACAAGTCAGCGGCCTCGCCGACGCCTTGCTTAATCCTACACCGGTCCAGTCTCTCCTATCCTACACAGCTCACGTCTCTCCTTTCTGGACCCGTCCACACACCAGTTTCGGTGGCAAGATCAACGACGCCACCATCACCCAGCCACGTGTCTGCTTCATGTGCAGCTTCGGCGGCAAGATCCTCGCCACACCCTCTTCTCCTTCTCTTTCTCATCAAGTGACCGACTCTCACATTTAGTAGGGCACACACACCCAATTCACTTTTCTTTGTTTAAACACACCCATCCACCGCCCACTTTATTTTTTTTTAATCAAACTTTATTTTTTTTATTCTACACCTTCATTGATGCTCTCAGACATCATTCTCTCACATTTAGTAGGGCACACACGCCCAATTCACTTTTCTTTGTTTAGTCACACCCATCCACCGCCCACTTTATTTTTTAATCAAACTTTATTTTTTTCTTCTAAACCTTCATTGATGCTCTCGGACATCAGGTTGTTCCCCACTTTTTTTTTTCTATATATATATATCTTTTTTTTTAATTCAAAACAAAAAAAAAAAAAAAAAAAAAATAAAACAATTTACAACTTTGCACAACACCCATATTTTATTCCTCTCCGGGATCAACCCCGATCACAATTTTACACACACAAAAAAAAAAAAAAAAAAAAAAAAAAAAAAAAAAAAAAAAACAACAACAACAACAGCCTTTGTTTTTCTTTTCTGCAGCACGCACCACCAACCGACCCACCTTCTTTCGCCATATTCCGCCGGTCATCTTCTTTTGCCCCCGTCCCTTGAGCGGCCCTTGACGGATGTTGCCTCCCGTGTTTTCCCCCTCCACTGGGCACGATCACTTACTCCCTGCTCCTCTCACTGCAGCAAGTATGGCGGCCTCCAAATCGGAACATCACGGGTGGCCTTCCGCCTTCAGCTCCTGTTTTCTGCCCTTAGCACGTTATCTCTGCTTCGCGCATCCTTATACATGCGTTGGAGGCAGAGCCAGCTGGAGAGTTTATGCTGCACCTCATTTGTCCTACTCTGCAAAGCCGGTGCGACAAATTTGTGACAGCCGGTAGGACTCCACACCATAGCCTTCAAAGTTACTCCTGTAACATTGAGCTCTCCACAATTCCGTTATCTGTTCGATTCGCTGCCCATTTTCTCATCATTCGCCGTTTGCATAGTTTGCCCCAACTCCGAACCTTTTGGCCATTCCCGAGGCCGAAACAAAAGCAACGGAGCTCAGAGACATCCAGGGATAAGGTTGTCTATTGAGTTGGAGACAGAGAATTCCACAGGGTGGACATCGCGTCTTAGGTTCTCCGTGATATGGCTTACTCGGTTACAGCCGTGACTCACGTCCCTGTTGATGAGTCTCTGCGGTTTTGTGTTGGAACTGGCGTAAATGAGACGAGTCAGCAGACGTCACGCGACGACGAAGCCATCCTCGCAACAGGGAAGTATTACAGACTGAATCTCTCTGCAGCTTACACGAAGCGTTTAGCTGATTCACGAAAGCTCTTTTCTGTCGTAAGGATATCGGTGTCTCCTGTACAGCTGCCCTACTCTGGCCTCGACAAGCACCCGCTCGTGGGTTAAAAGTAGTCGAGATGCTTAACCGGCCACACTAATCTTCTGCGCACCTCGGCGCCCACAGCGACGCTTCTTTTGACGTCCAGCCAACAGAAATGGACACGCTTCACCAATGGTATCTCATCGTCGTGACTTCCTGAGTCATCTTGCTTTGGCTTGAGCGCCTTTTGAGCTTGCCATTCCAGGGCAGCGCCTCCCTTGACCCAGAGTTGGGCACGAGCGCTGTATTAGTAGTCGGAAGGCGGACCGACTATTTGAAGGGGCTCGATTCATCTCTACATCCATGTAATACTCGTGTTGCGGGCACACCTCAGTACTGACACCACGTACAGCACAAGAGAAAGTGTCCTTCCTCACAGCCCGGTCAGACATTCTCTCAGAATACTGCCTTATCAACGTCTTCACCCAATACCGATCGCAACGACCATGTAACAGTCTTGTGGCTAATCCACCTCTGAGGAGACACCGAACCTTATTTTGATTGAGTTTGAGGGGGTGTATCTTACTAATCCAATCATAATCCAGTTATCGGATGGTATCCGAGCCTCGGTGACCCATGGTCGCCACACTCCTCATAAGTACCCCTGGTGCAAGATCATCCCTACTTAACTTATCATTCCGTTCATTCTTACCAATACTGTCCGAATCCGACCCCATAAACTTACTTCAGTTATCATCGGCTACTCGACCATTACCCCCATAACCACGGTTTCTACATCGTCTATACAACGACCACACGATGTCTGCTACAACGGTTATCCACAGATGACCCCATAAACTGAATAGTTCTACACACGGTCCCGCCATGACCCCATAAACTGTTTTCTACATCGAGTCCTGACACGACCACACAGTGTCTGCTACATCGGCTCCGGGACATTGACCCCGTAAAACTGTCCTGCTACACGGTCGACATGACCGTAACTGTCCTGCACATCGGTCGAGCATGACCCCGTAAACTGTTCTTCCTACAAACGGTCCGACATGGACCCCATAAACTGCTCCGACATTGATTCCGGTCACTGCTACAACGGTCCGACACGACCCCGTAAACTTGTCTGCTACACGTCGACATGACCCCGTAAACTGTCTTCTACATCGGTCTTGACACGACCACACAGTGTCTGCGGTACAACGGTCCGACATGGACCCCGTA